GTGAATTTTGGGAAGCAGATCATCAGACCTGGCTTCCGAGGTACCTCTGGATGGATTCAAACTGCCAACCTTTAGGCTAGTAGTTGAGCACTTAACCATTTGCGCCACCCATGGACTCCTTTAAGTGTTATTAGGTCCATTCAAATTTAGAGTTGTTGTATCTTCCTGGTGAGTTAAATTTGTATTGTTATGAAATGTCCCTCTGTATCACTGTTTGTCCATGTATCTCTGTCTGTGTATTGCTGTATGTTATTAGGCTTTAAAGTTTACTGTAATAGACAGTATAACCACACAAACTTTGATTTGGTTTGTGTTTTACATGGTATATCTTTCTCTATGCTTTAATTTTATTCTTTCTGTGTCCTCATGCTTAAGATGTGTCATTTGTAATCACCATGTAATTGGTTTTTTTTTAGTTCTGTCTGATCATCTTTTTAAAAAATTAATTATATTTGATATAATTACTGATGTAGTTGGATTAAATCTATCATCTTTTTGTTTGCTGTTTGTCCTTTCTTGCCTTCGTTTGGATTGATTGTTTTATCTATTTTTTTCCTCTTCTGTTAGCTTGTTAGCTGTACATACTTTTATTATTCTCACAGTGGTTACTCCAGAGATTACCACATGAAATCTAAAGTACAGGTGGTCCCCCTCTTACAGTGTGGTTCCGTTCCAGTAATTCCATCATAAGTTGGTTCTGATGTAAGTCAAATACCTCATTTTTTTTTAAGTTTTCATTATTATTGCCTTTAATTATCAGTATCTTTATAAATCCAATCTTTATTTGACTTTGAGAGTTAGAAACATTACATATAAACTTACAGATGTATTTTAATACATACATACATACATAAAAAACGCACAAATCATGAAATTTTACTCTGCCGATAACGAAGAGTTGGACGACGTTGGCATTTTGTCTGTTGCAGTAATAATTCCACTTGTGGAATGTTCTGTATCACCTGGATTATCCCTAGATAAAGGAATGGTGTTTCTAGTCAGAAAAATAGTGAGAGTTGTCTGTATGGTCCTCTTCTTTTTTCCTTCATATATTTCTCAGTAACATCATACTGCTTCCGAATCTGCCTGTCGACTTTAGCAAAGCTATCAGCATTTGGGTCCATGTTTTCAAGCAACTGAAGCCCTGACTTAGTTTTGAAAACTAAATCAATACGGCAGTGTTTTAAACGGTAAATTATAAAATAGAACATCTACAAGTGAACACCTGAGAAGGATAATATCGGAAAATTATGCTCTGTAACATTGTATGTAGTACATGTTACTAACAGTAAGATGTAAAAAAAAACAAAAACGGACATTCACAGATGCGGTCCGTCATAACTGGATTATGTCATAAGTTGGGGACTACCTGTAAATGGGTGCTTTTTCCATTTCCTAGTAAATGAAGGGGTCTTGGAACACTGTAATTCATTTACTACCCTTTCTATTTATGTAACTGTCTGTTGTGTATTGCAGTATTTAAGATCACACAAATATTATTTTATATAGTCAACATGCATTTAGAGTTACACATTTATCCTGTCTATTGCACCTCATTTTTTGGGTACATATCTAAGCTGTATCTGGGGTCCTTTGTTTTCTTCTACTTAAAGAAGTTTCTTCAGTGTTTCCTTTAGTGTGAATTTCCTAGTGACAAATTCTGTGATTGTTTATCTAAAGATGTCTTTATTTTGTTTTCATTTTTAAAGGGTATTTTTTGCCAGATACAGAATTCTAGATTGGCAGTTTTTTTCTGGCTCCTTTTAAGATCTCTTTATTTATGGCTTGCTCATGTGTTCTCTCTCCTTGGACGTGCTTATATGTGGGTTTCTTTGTATTTCTTTTACTTGGTGGTTTGTAAAACATCTTGAGTCTGTGGCTTGATGTCATTGGCTGGTTTAGAAAAGTTCTTAGCTATTATGTCTTCAGATACTACTTCCCTCCTTCCCTTCTGGGATTCTAATTACATGTATTTTAGATCTTTTTTCCATGTTCCAGAATTTTTTCACATTCTTCTCTGCATTTCTCATTCTTGTGTCTTTGAGTCAGAATTGACTTGATGGCAGTGGGTTTGGTTTTTGGTTTTGTGTCTTTTTGTGCTTCAGTTTGGGTATTGTATTCTGTCCTGTCTTCTGGATCATTGATTCTTTCTTCAGCTGTGTCTAACCTCTTAATAAACCCATCCATCAATGACTTTTTTGTCTACAAAAATCATATTTTTCAATTCTGTGTTTTCCATTTTTTTATGGCTGGCTGCTAAAACTCTTTATCTTGTTTTTTAATTCCTCAAACATATTAATTAACTTATTTTAAAGTCCACTTTTTTTAATAACACTATTATCTCAGTCTACTGTAGCTCAGTTTCTGTTGTCATTTTTAAATAATTGATTTTCAGTCAGGTTTCTACTTCTTGTCTGCCTGGTTACCTTTTTATTTCCAGACATTTTATATGAAAAAAATGATAGAGATAATTTGAAGTTCTGGATGTTATCTTTCTGTTGAGAAGATTTACTTTTACTACTGCCATGCTGCTAGGCTAAAGACATTTGCTAACCCACATTACCTTGATGTAATTGGATACTGAGATGATTTAAAGCTATGTTTAAGTCCTGGTGAGGGCTGGTCTATTTTTGGTTTACCTTTATGCCTAGGTTATAGCCCTTTAGGGTCCATCCCAAATCCTGGTAGAGGGCTTTTCTTCCTTGATATGCACTGAATCTTAATTTTTAGCCCCCCTCCCCCCCCCCGACCGCCACCCGCCAAGCACACACACAATTCTAAGTCTGTTGGAAATTCTGCTTAGCTTCTCGATCTCTCAGCTAGTGCTTTTGGAATCTATAAATGACTCTAAGGGGGAAGATGAGTCCAAAGTCTGGTCTCACCTGTTCCTCCCAGATCTCAGCCCTGCAAGTTCTCACTGTCTTGAAAGTTCTCTAATGGTTTAAAACAGAATTTTATTTTTTGTACTTTTTAGTTGTTCTCAAACGAACGTTGGTTTGAAGCAATCAACTCCACCATTGGCAAAAGCAAAATGCCCAAATAGGTGCTAGAATTCAGACTTTTTCAGATGATAGAAGATAGTACAATATATACTGTGTATACGTTACAAGTGGTCAGAAGATCTTACACAGTCTACCGTAATACCACTTCAGTGAAATGTATGAAAACTAATCTTTCCAGTTCCTACTAGGTGCAAGTTTTCATAATGGGAGTTGGAGATAATGTGATCTGTTAGGGAGCATGATTTGGAATAAGCCAACTTCTATTGTTTATAATGCCTTCTGTTAAGGAAACAAACATTCCAAAACACAGCTGCTTGTTTGAGTGCTGCCTGCCAGTGACTAGCCATCTTTCAGTTCCTCTAGTGATCCCTGCTCCTCCTTGTCATGGGGCCTTTGCACATACTACTCCCTCTGCCTAGAATGTACACCCTTATACTCAGGTTTGAGATCTCATGCCATACGGTGTATCCTCAGGAAGTCTTCTCTGACACATGAAAATAGGTCAGATTCTTTTTTTTAAAAGAGCTTTTTAGTTTTGAATTATATAAACTTATTTCTGTGATGGCTTGATTAACATCAGTTTCTCCTACTAGACTCTGTGAGATCAGGAATCATGTCTTTTTTTTCTTCTTTGACCATTTTATCCTTTGTGCTGAGTTCTGTGCTTAGAAATACACTTATTGTAAACAGATGATCAATTACCGGATGATAAATTATTAATAGATGATCAATTAACTTTTTATGAATGAAAGAATAAATGAAGGAAGGAATCAGTGAAATGTATAAGAAGTGCTGTGCTGATGATAGTGCTGGCAATGATAAGAAATGAAAGGCTTCTTTATTGCTTTTGAGCAAAAGCCAGATTTAATCAAACCTTGGATTTGCACAGTATGGATGCATGTACTGAATTAACAATACTTCACTGAAATTCCTTTGGGAATTTATTACTGTTTTAACATTTGTCCCCCATTTCCCCATAAATAGTTATTTTTAATACATAAGTTTTGAAAGCACAATGTTTTGTAGGGACACAACCGTCATTTCAAAGCATGACTAATTATATCATTGCCAGTCCTTCTACTACAGAGATAAGTGGAATATATAATCCCTGTTCTTGAGTTCACAGTCTCAGAAGAAAATCCACCCACTGCCGTCTGGTTGATTCGGACTCATAGCAACCCTATAGGACAGAGTAGAACTGCCCCATAGGGTTTCCAAGCCTGTAAATCTTTACGGAAGCAGACTGTCACATCTTTCTCCCGCTCAGAAGAAAGAAAGCTTGGAATTTACACACACATGCACACACGCAAGTGCTGTGGTTTAGTCTACCAAGGGACATTGATTTTGTCTTCATCAAGGAGGTGACATTTAAAGTGAATCTTAAGTGATAAGGAGGAGCTCATTAAATGACCAAAGGAAGAGTATTTGGTTTAAATGCGTATTATGATGAAAGTGTATAGTGTCTGTGTGGATTGACAAATAGTAAATTTGGCTAGAAGCTAGGGTGATTTAAGAGAAGAGGTTTTAGAGCCAGACTACCTGGGTTCATATCCCAAGCTCTGTCTCTTACTAACTGTGTATGACCTTGGGCACATTACTTAATTTCTCTGTGGTTCAGTATCCCGGTTTATAAAATGGACGTGATAATTGTAACTAACTCAGAGCATTGCAGTTAGAATTGAATGATTTAGAAAAGTACTTGGTACGTAGAAAAAGCTGAGTAATTATTGGCCCTTGTTGCTATTATTATTTGCATGGAGGAAAATTCAAAGGTTTTAATTGCATTAGGCTAGCCAGAATTAGGGGCAAGAATAGACTCAAGAGATATTTTAGGGATAAAATGAGCAGAACTTCAATTTGTTTATTAATTTTATTTAAATAGAAATTTCAACTAATAATGCTATCTGCAACATAAAAAGTTTTTAAATTTGTTTAACATAGTTTTATGATTTGTAAACTTAACAGAACTTTAATCTTCTAATTTGTGTTTTCTTTTAGATCTTATAGAACATTTCAGCTGTAGCCTTTGGAGTAGAAGCCGAAATAGTTGAAACTGTGTACGATGCATTAGGGTATTGAAGACAATATTTGAATTAAATATTTGGAATATAAGGAAGGGAAGGTGACTGAAAATGGGGCGGAAGAAAATACAAATCACACGCATCATGGATGAAAGGAACCGACAGGTAAATGAACATTTTAATTCATGTATTTAATTGATATGTATATATATGTATTTTAAGACCATAAGGTAAAATGGTTGAATTTTTCTTAAATTTAATTTCAACTCTGAATATTTTTATGTCCAGATGAAATGAAAAATTTCAGCAATCATGAAATTGTGGCTTCTTATCATGTGCTTTAAAGAAAGTTTTTTCTTATTACAGAAATCATATATGTTAATTATAGGAAACATAGACAAAAAGAAGAAAAGTAAATTCAGTGCAGTGTCACTACACCATTCATTGTATTTATCATAATACATTTAGTCTTATATACATTTGATTATATATTGATTGGTAGCCTTCTGTATATTGATACTTTAAATTTTCACCTCTATTTTTATAATTAGGTTGATACCTAAGTTAACTATAAAAACCCACCAAACCCATTGCTGTTAGTCAATTCTGACTCGTAGCAGCTGTTTTTGCTTCTCTGGAGAACCCAGCCTAAGAAATTTGGTACCGGGAGTGATTCTAGAGAAACAAAATTGTAAGGATGAGTTTTCTAGATTGATTTTCAGGTCTTGTTAGTCTTAAAGATGTTGATGAATCTAATTCCAGTAGTAAAGAGGGCACTGCTAATCCATGGTGTGAGGTGGCAATAGAAATATGCAAAATGTCACCACCAATAGATCAGACTATTAATGGAGTCTTAGATCGTGTCCGTCTCACAGTAGGTTCAGTAGGTCCCAAACTCATCCTGTAATGATTCCCAGTCCCGGAATGCATAATTGGAATAGATTTACCCAGCAACTGGCAGAACCCCACTTTCAGTACCAGATGTCTTAGGCTGAGTTTTCCAGAGAAGCAAAACCAGTAAAGCATATACGTGTGTATATATAGAGAGATGTATATCAAGGAAATAGCTCATATGGTTGTAGAGGCTGGAATATCCCAAGTCCGTGGGTCAGGCTAGAGGCTTCTCCTGATTCACGTAGCTGCAGGTGCTGGTGAACCCAAGGTCAGCAGATCAAACGGCAGGGCTCTGGCTCACAGGCTGCGAAGACCAACAAATCCCAAGATCAGCAGGCAAGACGGCAGGTAAGCTGCTAGCTCACATCCCGAGAACTGGAGATCAGATGAACAGGAGCCAGCTGCAGGATCCAGAGTGAGCAAAAGCCCTTGAGCCTTGCCAGAAAGCCCGTCTATATTGGATGCAGGCCACACCCCTAGGGAAACTTGCATTCAACTGATTGATTACTCACAGCAGATCCCATCATGGAGGTGATCACATTATATAAAATCTCATCATGGAAGTGATCGCATCATCATACGACTACCAAACTATATCATAACTGCCAAACTACTGACAATCATGGCCCAGCCAAGTTGACACATAACCTTAATGAAACCTGATAGGACAGAGTAGAACTGCCCTGTAGGGTTTCTAAGGAGCGGCTGGTGGATTTGAACTGCCGACCTTTTGGTTAACAGCCAAGGTCTTAACCACTGCGTCACCAGGGCTCCAAGTTGCCAATAAATATGTGTTCTGGTCAGTTAAATTTTCTGGTTAACCAACATGTAATGAGAATATTTTTGAAAACTCTTATTATCACAAATATTTCTGAAACATTTACATATATGCCTTAGCTTTAACCCATAAAACATTGAATATAATTTTCATTATCAATGACAGTAACCCTTATACATTCAGAGTAATTATAATGATGCTGATATAGGTAGAGACTAGAAGTTGTAAGAGTTTAGAGCAGAGGTTGGCAAACTGTGGCCCACAGACTGGCTTTCTGTTTGTGTAAATAAAGCGTTATTGAACACATCCATTCGTTTAAATATTGTCTATGGCTACTTTTACACTACAGTGACAGAGTTGAGTATTTGCAACAGAAACTCTAGAGCCCACAAGCCTCAGATATTTACTCTCTGGCAGTTTCAGAAAAAGTTTGCCAACCCCTGGTTTAGAGGAAAGAAGGAAAAATAATTTCATAGACTGCTGCAAATGAACTAATATTCAAGGCATGTGCAGAGGAGAGATGCTGTCCTTAGAAAGGTTATATATCAGGAGAAATTTCAAGAGCAGCTGGTTTTAGAAGTTTACCAGGAAGAGAACAACACTAAAGATGTATTCTGCAAAGTCTGGATAGTAGTTCACGTGTTAAAACAGATATAATTGGGGATTAAACTCAGCTGAGCAGCTGGTGGGGAAGTTAGTGGGAAGGATTAGGGATGCTCATAGAAAAATTGAGGAGAGCCCTTGTTTCAACGCATGAAGTTTCCTTAACAAAAGCATAAGCTCTCACAGTATGACCTGTTATGAAGAAGATAGTAGGGAAGGTTGAAAAAAATAACCAAAGGAATGGTTGCATAGCAAGGTTGTAAGTAAACTTCCCTTCATACATATGAGGATTGTGACATGTAGAAGAGGCATAGTGACCTGTGCCATGAACACATGCAGTATAAATGTAAAATAGGATTTTTTAGGGAATAGCATGCAAGCAGAGAAGAAGGCCGAGCACATAAGAATCTCTGAGCTACCCTTATCCCATAGAGAGTCATGATTAAATTAGGGGTAAGTAGACTGGACGTACCAATGGAAAGGACTGTGCATGTTCAGAGGAAATGGGGATCTAGGAGTATGTAGTAGGGCCCATGTAATAAAGCTATTAGGTTGAGGTAGTGACCTTGTTAAAAAGATGGAGCCAACCACTGCAGGTCAGAGGCTAGAATTACTTTGTTCCTACATGGAATTTAACTGCTAAGCCAGCTTCTTGCCCAGCTGCCGAAAGGAGCAAGGGCTATCTGAATTTTTCTCCTCAGGTAATTTAGGTGAAGTATGGAGAAAAGATACAGAATGAGTTGAGGATTGTATTTTTCAGGCTAGATTAGGCAAAATTTGTTATAACGTAAAAGGGTATCATAGTTTTATTGATATTTCAATTTGTGGATTCTGAGTTAATGGATTCATTATTCTAACATTAACGGGGAAGAATTGTTCCTATGCAAAAGAAAAGTCATTTTTTCATCCAAATTTGAATACCTACTGTATCTGAGGAAATGTTTTTGTTGTTAGATGGCGTGAGTCTGTTCTGATTCATAGCAACCCTATAGGAGAGAGTAGAACTGCCCCATAGGGTTTCCAGGGAGCACCTGGTGGATTTGAACTGCCGATCTTTTGGTTAGCAGCTGAGCTCTTAACCACTATGCTACCAGGGCTGTGAGAGACTGTTAGGCACTGAGAACTCTTTAAAAAAAATATGTAGGAGATTTAAGTATATGGCAAATAGAGGTAAACTCAGTTGTTGGGAGAGTTTATGGAAGGAACGACTAGTCTCTGTTGGCGAAGGTCAGGGAGCAGTTACTGGAGGAGTTAATAGCAGATAGGGTTTTCAATTACAAGTATGAGCTAGCCAGATAAAATCAAATTTCAGGTCAGTGGAACAGTGCATGAAAAAGCTTGATGGTGACATTGTCATGCATTTAAGAGAGAACTGCAAGTAGTTTATTATGATTAGAGTTAGATTGTTAGAAGATAAAGTTGGAAAATAAGGAACGAACCACATCAAAAGGTCTTTAATCTCATGTTAAAAGGTTTGGATTGTATCTTAAAAGTGATGGAGAACCATTGAAGAATTTTTGGATATGGCAGTGACTTAAGATTTGTTCTGTCAGAAATTCAGACCGTAAGTGGGACAGTCCACTTGTGAATTGATGAGGGCTGGACACAAAGGCAGTGGTGATGCAGAGGAAGGAGATAGATGTGAGAATTAAGCTAAGGACTTGATCTTAATGGGAGGTTCTAAATTTTTCAATTTGAGAGTGGTTTTACATGATGATGTATTGTACTTTGGAAAGAAAATTCTGATTTATAGAAGGAGTAGTTACTAATCACTTATATAATTTTATATATGTGTAGTATCTGTGAAGCCCTGGTGGTGCAGTGGTTAAGCATTCAGCTGCTAACCAAAAGGTCAGCAGGTCGAATCCACCAGCTGCTCTTTGGAAACCCTTTGGGGCAGTTCTTCTGTGTCCTGTAGGGTTGCTATGAGTTGGAATTGACTCAACGGCAATGGGGAAAAAAAAGAGTCTGTAAAGTAGCAAAACTAAATACAAATATACCCACTGCCATCGAATCGATTCTGATACAAATAGACACACATACAAACACACACACCCCAAATAAAAGTAAAAGAAGACCTGAATAAATAGACATACTATATTATTAAATGAGATGACTTAATATATCCTAAAGGTGTCAATTCTATTAATGAGAATCATGGAGGAACTTGACAAAATTAATATAAAGTTGTTATGTAGAAGAATAAATACATGGGACTAGCCTATGGAATGTTGAAAAAGAAAAATACTAAGGATAATTTCCCTCATAAGGTATTAAATGTAAGATTTGGAATCATGCAGAACTTCTCAGATACTTCAGAACTTTTATACAGTAACTTGATCGCTCACTCTGTGGGATGATTTCCTGCATGAATATTGAGTCTTTCATGATGCCATTTTTCTGTAAAATAGACAGGGAAGTAGTAGCTTTATCTTATAAAAAGAGATACACATTTTTAAACTAAGCTGTGTAGAATCTATTTTTTTTTAATGAAATTCTTTTATTGAGTTAGTTTTCTAAACAGTAGTTGGTAATTTTTTATGTATTTTTTTATTGTAGTGCAAATAGACACAACAAAACACTCTCCCATTCAACAGTCTCTCCGTGCATAATTCAATGACACTGATTACACTTTTCGCATTGTGCAACCCTTATTGCTGTCTTTTTCCTAATTATTCTAGTACTATTAACGTAAACTCAGTGCCCCCCAAGCAAAAACTCCCTCTTTTCCCCTTTTCCTTTTCCTCCCACCCAACCACTAATAAGCTTTGATTTCTATATATTTGCTTATTTTATATAAGTGATGTCATACACTATTTGTCCTTTTGTGACTGACTTAAAATGCTCAGCATAATGTTTTCAGCATTCATCCATTTTATGGCATGTATCA